GCCTTTTCCTTCCACGGGGAGGATGGACGAGAACACTACTTGCGCCTCAAACTCCTTTATCCTTCTTCCCAGAGCCACGTAGTCCGCAGTGATCCACTCAAGGTCATTCTTGGCAGTATCATTGGTGCCCATGTGGAGAAGCAGGAAGGGGTAACGATCTGAGGGCTTGATGAGTCTCAGCAGTCTCTCCGTCACATCGCGACTCTTAGCTCCTGGCAAGCAGCAGACTTCTCGGTTTTCCCAGCCAGGGCGGCAGATAGATGACTCAGTCCCTCTGAGGAGAGAGTGCCCGACCACCACCACCCACCTCCTCCTCTTGGGAGCGGTGGTCGTGGAACCCCCAACCCTAGGACAGTGCCTCCCATGCCTTCCAATTGGCGGAGTCTCCTTCTGCTCCCTTCCCTCAGACGTATCATCTGGTCCACTCTCCGCATTAGTACACATGGAGAGAACATGAAAACGGTTACTTACCTGTATCTGTCCTGCTGGTACATGGACGTTCCCCTTTTTTCTTCTGGAGGTCACATGATGCCAAATTTCTTCACCATCCTTCTGTCCCCGATGTGCAGCCTGCTCTGAATCTTCAGAACCTTGTGCCCATAGAAGCCTATACTGATATCCGTCCAGGAAATCTTCAGTTTCTCTTATGCAACGCAGGGTCGATACCTGTTGCTCCAGACCTTGAACCTTCTCTTCCAGTATGGAGACTAGCTTGCACTCTGTACAGACAAAGTCACATCTGTCCTGTGGTAGAAAGACAAACATGGCACATCCAGTGCAGGTCACAACAGCTGAACACTCCCCATCCATATTACCTTCCTTCTATGAGCTTCCTCAGGAGTTGTAGTACTTAGAGAATCCAGCAAGATGTAAGCCTCAGTGGGCTCTCCCCAGGCAAACTCCTAGGCAAACTCCTTTTGTTAGCTGCTCTGCTGTTTGCTGCTCAGCTGGTTCGCAGCCACTGAGTACATCATAAGAAAGGGCTACTTTTCTATGGTTATGGAAGCATTGGTGGATCACTGGGAATGCTTCACTGACATCACTGTTGGCTGGTCAGGGAAGATGCATGACACTTGTATCTTTAAGAACACAGGACTGTTCAGAAAACTACAAGCAGGGACTTTTTCCTGGTAGATGGATTACCACAGGGAATGTTGAAATACCACTCGTGCTCCTGGGCGACCCAGCCTCCCCCTTACTCCCCCTGGCCAATGAAGCTGTACACTGGCCACCTTGACAGCACCAAGGAATGGTTCAACTCCCTGCACGGCAGGTGCAGAATGACGGAATGATTGATTGAAGGGCAGCTGGTTGTATTTACTCACAAGATTGGATCTCAGTGAGAAAAATACCCCAATGGTTATAGCTGCCTGCTGTGTCCTGCATGATATATATGAAGCAAAGAGGGAAATGTTTTTGCTGGGGTGGATGGTGGAGGTGGAGTGGCTGTCTGCTGAGTTTGAACAGCCGGCTACAAGGGCTATTAAAAGAGCTCAACATGGAGCTATGCAGTTCAACAAGATTTTGAAAGACCATTTTAATAGTGAGCCAGAGTAGTGAGTGGTGGTATGCTCCTGTGGCCTAGTAGGAATCCTGTGGTGATTGCTGTAACGTTGTAGGTGTACCTATGAATTTTAATTGTGACTGAATCCGAGTTGTGTGACATTATGCAGTAACAGGAAATTGATGGGTTTCAGAATTGCTGAGCATTCTGCTGCATGTATTGTAAAATAATTATGTTCAACATAATTTTATTCTGTAACAGAATTCAGTGCAACTCCATCCCCATGCAATTTTAAAACACATACTTTAAAAAACTAATAAAAACGTGATAAATTAAGAGCACAGAACTTATGAAGAGAAAAGAACATGCACATCCATTTCAGCTACACGTACACCAACGGTGGCTTTCAAAGGCCTGGGTCTGTGACGTTGCAATTGTCTTCAGTGTCCCCCAGGGTGGAGTGGTGGGGGTAGTGCAGTGACCCCGAGGCCATGTGGAATGTTGGGGGGAGGTTAATGGGAAGGTCCCGCTATTGAGTTTGCAGTGGGCTGCAGAGGGAGGCAAGCCCGGGCTTGTTGAACCTGCAGGTCCAGCAGAGTCTGCAGCATCTGTGTTTGCTGTCTGAGAATCTCTCCATTATGTCCTGGTGCCTCTCCCTCTCCTTTTCCTACTGGGACTCCTGGGCCTGTCTCCTCTCCACTCTTTCCTTCTCCAGGCTGTCCGCAGTGTTCATCCTCCAGGCCCTGTGTTCGTGGTCCGATGCAGCGCTGGTTTGCAGGGTCTCATTGAACGTGTCATCCCGAGTCCTCTTCTTTCTCCTCCTTATCTGGCTTAGGTGTTCTGTGGGTGTGGGGGGGAGACCCTGAAGGCCACAGAGGCAGCAGCTGAAGATACAACACACAGCGGTACATTGTCAGCACATTCACTACAGAGAGCGAAACTACCGCTGCTGAACTCACTCCCCCTGCTCCCCTAACGTTGTAAACTCTACATTCTCACTTGGGATTGGGATTGCTTATGCATGGCCCCACTCGCAGCACCAGCCCTGGTGAGTATGGCCCACTGGGGTTGGGGAGATGCGGAGGGATTTGCTCACTGGCATGATTCTCTTGGCACAGGGCAATGGCACTGAGCACTGGCACCATTTCCTACAGATGGGGGTGATTTTAGCTGATCTCTCACTCGTGAGTGTAACAAAGGCAGAGAGAGCAAAGCTGCTGCAAGGATCCCGAAGCCACCAGGGTCCATATGCTGCTAGCCTGTGCACTCCAATGTCGCCTGCTGAAGTTATCACTGACTGGCATGGGAAAGTGTCCCACCGCGGCGGAAGAAATAAGGCTGCCTTCTCTAGAAACCTTCAGCAGGGGATTGCAGACACCTCCATGAAAGTTTCATCGAGATCTCGATGGAGGATTCACGAGACATGCCGGTGCACATAAACAGACTGCTCCACTTGGCCCCCTTGGCCTAACGAGGGGAATGAAAAGCAGGTAGCAACTCTACCTCTCTTGGTTGTGCCACACTCTCTTCTAGCACGAGTAAAGTAATGAAAAGTCAACAGTTGTGTCCTGCCATTTTGGGGATGCCATCCCTGTAATGGAAAAGTTATCTACGCACCTACCTGAGGTGCCTTCCCCTGCATCAGGCTCACCTGTGCTCCACTGGTGGAACTGGCTGGACGGCAGCGAAGTCAAAAACAGGTCCTGGCTGTCTGCGCAGGTGGATCCCACCGGTCGCCTGACCCCATACTCCTCTTCCTCACTTTTCACAGCAGGGACCTGTGGCTCGGGGTCCTCAGAGGTAGCCATAGTGCTGTAGGGGGTGGTGGTGGGGTCTGAGGATGGCATGTAGCTCTTTGTAAAAGTGATAGGTCTGCGGCTCAGCCCCACAATGACTGTTGGCCTCACTGGCCTGCTTTCACATGGCACTGCTGTTGTCCCTGTCGTGCCCCTCCTCCTGCTTCCCCCGAGCAATCTGCTCGTAGATGTCCAAGTTTCTGTGGCTGGATAGGAGCTGTGTCTGCGCAGCCTGTTCTCCCCATCAGCCCATGAGATCCAGTATCTCCTGGATACATCCAGGCTGGAGTGTGCACTTGGCATGGTTAGTGGGGGAGCTCCACTCAGCAGTGGAGAGCTGCTAAGTGTGCTCACCAAGCTGGGCAATGAGAAAAAGGAATTTCAAAAATTCGCCAGGCTTTGTAGGGAAGGGGCTTCCGGTCTCCATGACCCCTGTGCAGTGGATTTCACGATGGTAACCAGCGTGGTCAGTGTGGAGCATTGCGAGACAGCAGCTGGAGGACAGTTAGGGTCAATGTAACTAATGCAGAGTCTACCTTTTGCGTTGCGTCGACTTCAGCACATCGATTGTGGCTCTCCCCTGCTTGGGCAGAGGTGTTACTATGTCAGCGTAATGGGGTGCTTTCATTGGTGGGAGACCAATTTGAGTGTAGACACGTGCACAACTAGGTCAATGTAAACTGCCTTTTGTTGAGCTAAGCACGTAGTGTAGACCAGGCCTTAGTTACGTATCACAGCTCCAGTTTGCACTTGGTTCACGTTTGGGAAATGTTCTTCACAGCCATAAGCACTAGAGGCCTGATTTCTTTTTAAGTGAAAACTCTGGAACGTGAGACACAGCCTCCAGGGGAAAGTATTGACTCGCTGAGCTCTCACACACTGGCCCAGTTCAGCCCCTTCTAACGCTCTTCTCTGTATGTATCTCACAGGAAGTCACATAAATACCTAAATAATGCAACATTCCCAAAGAGTTGCCACTCTGGTTAATTTGTGTTTTTTATTGTCAAGTGAGTGAACTCTTCTTGTAAGAAAGAATAAGAAACCAGTGAGAACTTTAAAGCCAGTCTTGCAAGAGAACAAACAAGCATAAACATTGATTGATGTTTGTCAGCAGTTATCAAGGTCTTGTTTCTTTCACAGGAGGTGAGCCAGGCTTTGCTCTAGGAGGCAAATACTATTTCTATAAGTCAGGATTTGGCTAGTTACATACTTTTAATATGTTTTTATGGTGGAAAATAACGAGGGGAGAATCAGAATATGTGGCCCAGAGGGAAGGGTGCTGACTTAGGAGACCCAGGTTCTGTCCCCGCTCTACCACAAACTCTTTTTGCAACCTAAGGCAAATCTGTGTGCCTCAGTTCCCCATCTATACGATTGGGATAACAATATGGCCTTACCTCACAGGGGTGTTGAGGGTAAAGACGACAAAGGTTGTCAGGTGCTCAGGTAGCACCATAATGGAGGCTATATAGATACTTAACCACGCTATGCTCTTTTATCTTATTTCCCTCCCAGTCACCGTGCCTCATCGGCTCCTCTCTTGTGTTTTTTATGCTGCCCAGTGCTGGCAAACAAGGCAGAAACACATGCCTGTGGGTGTTCATGGCACATTCTGCATGTGGTGTGGGGAGGGCCAGATAGAGATCACCATTTAATTAAGATAGTGGAACTTGGCTTTATCTCGGTTTTGTTTCCTACAGGACCAAAATGTCTTTGACTCAAAGAAAAAGGTGAAATTGACCAATGCAGAAGGCGTGGAGCACAAACTCTCCAAGAAACAGCTCCAGGCCATCGAATTCAACAAAGCTTTACTGGCTATGTACACCAATCAGGTAGAGAACTGTCCTGTGTCTGCTGGGTACAGATTTACAACCAGTCACAGGAGTTTAATTAAGCAGAAATGTAATCCAGTTGAGCTAGTTAAGTATCAGAGGGGTAGCCATGTTAGTCTGGATCTGCAGAAGTGGCAAAGAGTCCTGTGGCACCTTATAGACTAACAGACGTATTGGAGCAACAGCTTTTGTGGGTGAATACCCACTTCGTCGGATGCATGGAGTGGAAATTTCCAGAGGCAGGTATAAATATGCAAGCAAGAATCAGGCTAGGGATAATGAGGTTAGTTCAATCAGGGAGGATGAGGCCCTCTTCTAGCAGTTGAGGTGTGAACACCAAGGGAGAAGAAACGGCTTTTGTCGTTGGCTAGCCAGTCACGGTCCTTGTTTCATCCTGAGCTGATGGTGTCAAATTTGCAAATGAATTGAAGCTCAGCAGTTTCTCTTTGAAGTCTGGTCCTGAAGTTTTTTTGCTGCAGGATGGCTACCTTTACATCTGCTATTGTGTGTCCAGCGAGGTTGAAGCGTTGTCCTACAGGTTTTTATATATTGCCATTCCTAATATCTGAGGAATTGAGCTAGTTAGATTTCCATAGACTGTTCTTTCCCCCTCAAAATAGTCAGGATGTTATCCAGAGATGCTAGATTTTTCAGAAGTGTTCAGCACCCAGCAGCTCCTATTGAGAATAATCTTTTTGCTGAGGCCTTTTGATGATCTGGCCAATTCATTTAGGTGCCTAAATCGGAGATGAGCATTTAAAAAAAAAAAAAAGTCTGGCCCATAATGTTTAATACCTATCAGGGAAACATCATGTGACTGTCCTGGTGAATGTATTGTTTGTTAAAATAGTATTGACTGGGTATCTACAGGTTGAGAAGAAATTGTGCATTGCTATACATGAGGACATGTGCATACCGCTGTTCTTGTTAACAAGGACCAATAATATCCATTGCCAAAATGAAAACACAGGAATAATGGATTTGGTACTAATATCGGGTCCATGAAGCTCAGTGCTTTGGATGCGTGAGCTTTGTAGAGGTCTAAATAACTAACAAAAAATACTATCTGTTTTCTAGATCACAGAGACTTACCTGTACAGGCACTTCATGGGCTTACACACTGGTTGCTGATGGCAGCTTTCGGTGTGGTCCTGTAGTGAGGGAGATTCTGAGTCACTCTAGCAAGAAATAAATACCTGGAGTTGCATGTACGCAGAAACTGAGATTTATCCTTTGTCTATTACAGTATCTGGTAGAAGAGGTGTGCTGGGCATTTTCACATGGTTCCCCTTCCATTTCCTGTAAAATCAGACTCCACCCCCGTGTGTGTGTCTAGCTCCTCTGTTTTCCACACAGACATTCTGGTGGAAAAACAAGGGAGAACTTTTGGGAAGAATTCATATGATGGTGGCTTGCACAGCACCTCACTTGGAGAGTCTCTTCCCAGATAATGTATTTATTACTGCCGTAGCACCTACAGGCTCTGATGCTGATTGAACTAGGCACTGGATGCACATAAGTCTGTCTCTGCCCCCACACTGCTTGCTGCCTGAGCGTCTAGGCAGATGTAATGAACTGGCAGGAGGAGCACAAGGGGGTAATGAGGTGGCTCTGGCCAGTGTAGTAACCAGCTTCCTGCCCACTGAGTGTTGCGTAGGAGAGATGTAGAGGAGTGCAGAGTGATGGCTGTAGTTGTCACCCAAAGGCCCTGCCATGTGGGAGTCGTGGGTCAGAATCTCCTTGGGCCAGTGACTTTACCTGTTTCCACAGCCTCTACTGCCACCACGTCCCATTCCCCACTGATGGCAGGCAGTGTCTGGCCCCACTATCCCTTTCGCCCTGTTCTCTCTGTGGGGTTTGCACAGTTGCACTAACTATCCACTAATACTGAGGAAAACGTTCCATTGTGTCCCGTAGGCAGATCAGTGCCGCAAGCTGTCAGCAAGTTTACAGTCCCAGAACCCCGAGCACCTGCTGCCCGTGCTAATCCAGGCTGCCCAGCTCTGTCGAGAGAAGCAGCATGCAGGGGCAATAGAGCTCCTACAGGTGGGTGACTGATCTCCTCCTGCTGGCCAGGAGAGTGGAGCCCTGTTCCCTGCACTGGAACCTGACAGATGGAGCTGGTACAAGGGGCAATTAATAGTCCTGAAACACTGGGCACTGCAGAAGTGGATGTTAGCTCAACTACCCGCAGTGGTCATTGCGTTGTGTAATGGATGTGGCTTACGCAGGGCTCAGTAGTGAGGATGCAGTGACTGGTGTGTGGGGAGAGACATGGGCACGCCCATGCTCTGATCATGAAGGGTGTGTTCTTTCTGTAAAGGGAGAGCCCCACCTGGAAATGACCCCCTTCACTATGGCGGTGGCGCCAGGGCTGCTTTTCCTTCCCACAGGGACATGGTGGGCGCTGGTGCCTGGGGCTGTGCTCCTCTGGAAGGCAGGACTTCACTTCTGGCCTCTCATCCCAAAGGGTGGTGGTGCCCACATTCCTTCTCCAGCCCTTCTCTGGCCTCATCTACATGCACAGGTTGCACTGGTTTACTTAAAATTGGGGTTTAAACCAGTGCTAAAGACTCTGCGGACACTTCGGTTTCAGAGTGCCCTGTTCCTAATCAACCTCTGCTAAATTGAAATAAGCTGGTTTTAAACTGAAGTCGTGTTCGCATGGCACTTTAAACTGGTTTACTTAAACAGGTACAGCTTCCTTATGTAAACAAGGCCTTGGACATGGTGTCAGGTGTCACCTGGGACGCTGCACTTGCCAGCTGCTTGCCTAGAGGGAGCAGCTACTGTGTGTGGTGAGGGCATGGACCCTGGGAATTGCTTGTGGTGGAATGGGATGGCACTGTGGGAGGAGTGACAGTCCATGGAAGCAATTCAGGACTCTGGGTGGCGTGGTTCCACTCGAACTGGCTCCCTCCCTGTCTATTCAAATGACACTGTCGAGCTTTTCTTTCTGAAGTTGGTTTTAAAATGGGCCCGGGCCATGGCTGATGCGCTGTGTTCATGAACATGCTCTTTGCTTCTCTCGCTCTCAGGACTTTGCGGAGCAGAGCCCTGCCAACTCGGCGCAGATAAAGCTGACAATGGCCCAGCTGAAAATCGCTCAAGGTACCAGTGCCCTTTTGTGCTGAGAAATGCTTGTTTAATGCTAAGTTTAAAAAAACCCACAATTCTTTGTTGCTGGCCTTAGTGTCCGGAGAGCCAGGACTGAGAGTGGCCTCTTGCTGCTGTGAGCCCCAGCAAGACAACTCCATCCAGAGTGGGGTTAGAAATACCTTCTCAAACACTGCGCTTCACAGCCCTGCACGAGGGCTGGGACAACATCTCCACTCCTCATAGTGAGCAGCATTAAAGCAAGATGTACTCTGCATTTGGCCAGAACCATTTTTCTCTTGATTAGTTCTTGGACAGAGCTGCACCTGCCCCTCTGGTGTCTCTGAGAGGAGTTACCAGGGGAAGGGATTGTAATTAGGGGATAAAAAGAAAAGGAGGACTTGTGGCACCTTAGAGACTAACCAATTTATTAGAGCATAAGCTTTCGTGAGGTACAGCTCACTTCATCGGATGCATACGAGCTGTAGCTCACGAAAGCTCATGCTCTAATAAATTGGTTAGTCTCTAAGGTGCCACAAGTACTCCTTTTCTTTTTCGGATACAGACTAACACGGCTGCTACTCTGAAACCTGTAATTAGGGGATGGCACCTTTTTCGGGGGGGCTGGAGGGAAATTAAGCCTGGCAGGGGCGGGCCTCTTCTCTTTTCACCATGGATGGGGGGGGTGAGAAATGAGGAGACGTTCTCCCGTTCCTTGTCTCTTGCTGCCCTTTCTTCTCAGAAGAATGCCTGCAATCCCATAGTACGGCACCTCTTGCCGAGAGGGGTGCCCTATGGAGATCAGTGCTCATGCCTGAACCTGGCGTTGTCCATGCAATGTGGGGGGGTTGTGTGCCCCAGGGGGCATGGCCTGTGGAACAAGTGGAGGGCAGTCCTGGGCACTGTGCTGATGGCTGGCGTTCACCACATTGACAATGGGCTGATGTGTGTGCCTCAGCCTGACCCGAGAGAGGAAGCAGGACAGCTGGGCACTGAGAGTCAGCGGGGGCAGGGGAAAGGGGAAGGGGAATTCATATTAATGTGGATGGTGCGGGATTGACCCTTTCCTGAGTGGCTGCAGAAGTGCATACTGGAAAGCTTGGGGATCTGCGTGTTGAAATGGCTGGCTGTTGCTGATTGCATGTCACTCAAGTTTTAAAGTTCCCCTCGAGCTACCTCAAATATGCACTACCCAGCATCCAGTACTTGGCATGGGCCGTACTCCATTGTGCCTGCAATGGGTGGGACTATTCAGGAGAAATAAGGGGGCAGGATCTGGCCCCGCACTGCGTGGGGTGGGGAGAATGGGGAAGGGGTCAAAGCACATGGTGATGGCCCAGCTTTGCTCTCATTGAAGTTTGTGATAAAACTTGCACTGGCATCAGTCGGAGCAGGCAGGCCAGAGCTGTTTTAGGTTTGTTCTGAAATCGTAAATAATACACCCAGCTGCTGATGCTCCATTCCCTCTCATAGGGAAGTAAAGCATTGCTCTGGACCCACTGCTTCTAGCATTGGAGGTGGGGATGAGCCCTTTGCATGTGGTAGCAGCCTTGGGCGTGCTGGACACTTAGGTGGAAAGCCCAGTAGGTGCTGGGGTTGCTGCAAAGGCTGTTTAGTCTGAGAATGAGAAGAGCACTGTTGGGACTGACGTTTCTTCCCCATGAATGGCCAGCGATTGTGTTGTCTTAAGAATAATAGTGGAGAAAACCTCTTCGCAGCTGGCCTTGCAGGCAGAGGAGTGTAGTGGCTGGTTGGTGTATGCTGACTTCCCCAGGGAGACTCTGAGGGCAGGGGGATCCAGGATGGAGAACAGGGGCAGGGAAAGCATTGCTGTTTAAATTGCATTATTCTCCCTTCTTTCTCTAAGGCAGCGTCACCAAAGCATGCATCATCTTGAGGAGTATAGAAGAGCTGAAGCATAAGCCAGGCATGGTGAGTGGCAGTTAACAGGCACCATCCCAGAATACCATCATCCTTTTCATGCTCCTTCCTTGTTCCTGTTTTCCTGTCTCCTTAGCTACTCCTGGGCTGAGATTCAGATCTGGGTGCCCAGCGTTGGTCTCAGTCTGCTGGTCTGCTTGCACAGTGGGGCTTGGTTGCTGAGATTTTTGATACACAGCATTATGCCTCAGAGTAGATGTTAGACCTTTAGGTAGCTCACTTATTGTGGTGAAAGCCAGCCAGACAAAGGGTAATAACTTGCATCAGGGTCCCCAAACTTGTTTTTAGAGTGGACAACTTCCCTCTCGTTCATAGTTGCACGGACCTGCCTCCCCTTCCTCCAGCACTCCCTTAACAGCCCTAGGGCAGCTACAGGAATTGCTTGCCCAGTAAGCAATGTTGGGGAAGTATCAAACACATTTTTAAGCTGCTCTATGTGGCAGTGAGCAGTGGGAAGCAAGGAGGAGCCAGTATTGTAAGACCTTCCAGCTCCCCCCAGGGCCCCAGCAGCAGCAAGTGCCCTGCCGACCATTGTGGTGGTGAGAGAACAGTGTGGGAGCCTTGGCTTTTCCAATTAAGTAATTCTCTCATCCCTTATCCTCTATTGATCCGAAACCTTTTAAAAACAGTTCTCCTGGGCTGTTTCGACCATTGCAGTAATGTCCTAGCTGTACTGGGGAGGATAATCCCAGGGGTCGGCTGCTGCCTCCAAATTCCATTGTAGTAGTTCGTTCCATTCCCTTTTTTTTCAGCAATTCTTTTAATAACGGGTTTACATGAAAAGTACCTTAAAATGATCACTTACAAGTAACGCCCGTCCCGTGGCTGCACGCTGACTGTTGTTGGGGTTTGCAGGTGTCTGCATTGGTGACGATGTACAGTCATGAAGAAGACATTGACAGTGCTATTGAGGTCTTCACGCAAGCTATCCAGTGGCACCAGGGATACCAGGCAAGTAGATCAGGTCAGACAATACATTTGAGAGGTGAAGCTACTTTTTGTCCCTTGCTAACTTGCTGGAGACCAGCTGTTCCTGTCCAACTCCCAGCTCCCACCTGTCTGTCCCCTGGAGAGGAGCGGTCTCCTTGCCAACGGCTCACTACCTCTGATGAGATGTTGGGGGGCCAGGGAACATTCTACTCCATGTCTGCCTCTGTCTCTGACATGCTGCTTGCACCAGGTTTGTCATTCAGACCAATGGCAAGTCTGCAGTGTGGGAAAAATGGCAGACTCTTTTCCAGCTCTTCCAGTGCCTGTCAGGTTATAGATTCTGGAGGCTAGCAGAGGGAACATCGCAGTATTGTCCCTCTTCCCATGTTGACTTTGGAGCAGCAGCAGTCAGTTGGCTTTTTGCATGCACTTGAGGAGAAGGAAAAGCTTGAGCAGAAGAGCTTCAGAGGGGGAGACTGATTCCAGCCCGGCAGCCTGCTGGCTGTACTCAGTTAATCGGAACGTCAGGCTGCTGAAAGGAGTCAGTTGGAGTCTGTCTGAGCGGAGTGATGGTTCCATTGGGGGCTTAGTGATTCGTTCCTGGAACCTGGTTATTTTGGAGCTGGAGGTAGCAATTATTTCAGCAAACAGTGAATTGCCGGAAAAAGTGTGACCCCCATGGGAAGTGTTCTCACAAAGCTGCGTTGGCATTGGCTGTTTCCTTTGTTTCTTTCTTCCCTGGTTTTCTATCAGCAAGGACACTTGGTTTTTCAAAATGTGTCTGCCTGCACTTGTTCCTTACCTGATGATCTGATGCCTTGGCTGGTCACTGGGGAAATGGCTGATGTCCTAAGCGAGGCTGACTGCAGGTTGCAAATCATCAGCAGCAGCAGACTGTTAGTTTTCCGTGATTGTCAAACGCTGGCTAAAATGCCTGTCCCCTTCCCATTTTCACCCCCTCCTCCCAATTCTGTTGCTCTGGGGCTGCTGGCAGGGTTAGTAGCTGTGTTTGTTAAGAACCAGGCAGAGGAACTGGAGATTATTCTTACATATGAGGGGTCTCCGAACAAGGGGCTAGGTTGTGCTAGCACCATCTGGGTGTGAAGGGGCAGGGAAAGTGCGTGAGGGCTGTGCACAGGGGCCAGGAGCAATCCTGCCCCTTACACTCTTGGTAAATACGCAACCCAAAGACTGAGCTGTGGACCCACCCCCTTCTACACCAGCCAGCAGCGCTAGGCTCAGAGCATTGGTTGCAGGAGGTAACGCAGGCATGAATATTAAGTAACAGCCATCTGTGTACTGTATTAATGAGCTGACAGCCTGTTTCCGCCTCAGGCTCATACAGGTAGCTGCTGCTGAGCAAACCACGTCTCCTTTCCCAGCCCCGTCTAACATGCGTAGTGGTTTAATGCTACAGACTGCCAAGCCTTTTTCTCATGGAACGGGGAAGAAATTCCTGCAGCTCAGTTTTCCTTCCAGATCACTTGGGTTGGGAGCGTACGTTGGTGTGAGCCAGTCTCTAGTAACGTCAGGAAGCAAAGCAGCCACATCACTGAATTGCTAAGTGCTGTCAAACATGTCTTCATTTGAAGAACCTTGTGATTGCAGCCAAAGTCTCCAGTTCATTTGTCGCTGATAAGGGAAGCAGCCAACTTTAAGCTGAAGTATGGGAGGAAGAAGGAAGCAATCAGCGACCTGGAAGAGCTGTGGAAGTGAGTTCAGGGAGGGGAGAGGGGTATCTTGTTTTCCTTCTGGACTTGAGCCGTGGCCCTGCTGTCTTGTGCACTGAAACATGAGCAGTGCCTGGTCCCCGTGAGGACTGCTCAGGGGTTCTAGAGCCAGATAACGTCTGCTAGCATTTTGGTGACGTCTGAGGCAATAGTTCGTCCTTTTAGACATTGTAAAGGGGCTTCTGGTCAAAGCTGTGCTCCCTGTCCAACCCCTTGGATGAAGTAACTGTTCCAGCAGGCCTAGCCCTGCGATCTGTTGTGGGTTCTTTTGTGTTACATCCTGATAGAAGCTGTGTCTTCCATGTTGGATGCCATGTCTTCTGTTCTCAGCCAGCACCCATTCACTGCGGGAGGAGTTCCCCAGTCTGTATCCAGATGCAGACTGCTGGCACTTCACATTAAAAAGGTTGCAGAGCAGTTTTTAAACTAAACGATGGGGGAAAGCCAATTGCTGCAGAGGCGCACGTGGATCGGACAGAGACTTCTCTTAGAGGAGAATCTATTGATAGAAATTCTCTTGATTTTAGTCAGGAGGAGAGGATGGAAGAGGATAAAGTATGGGCCAGATCAGACGAGAAACATTCACATAAAGAATCTGACACATCAGAAAAGGGCAGACAAATAAATATTTACAAGTTTTTAAAGTGCTTGTACACAAATGCTGTAAGTCTAAATAATAAGATGGGTGAACTAGAGTGCTTTGTGTTAAAGGAGGATATTGATATAATGGGCATCACAGAAACCTGGTGGAGTGAGGACAATCAATGGGACACAATCATTCCGGGGTACAAAATATATCGGAAGGACAGAACAGGTCGTGCCGGCGGGGGGAGAGTGGCATTATATGTGAAAGAAAATGTAGAATCAAATGAAATAAAAATCTTAAATGAATCCACATGTTCCATAGGATCTCTGTGGATAGTAATTCCATGTTCTAATAAGAATATAATGGAATACAGGGATCTATTATTGACCATCTGACCACAACAGTGATAGTGACGATGAAATGCTAAGGGAGATTAGAGAGGCTATCAGAATAACTCAATAATAGTGGGGGATTTCAGTTATCCCCATATTGACTGGGTACATGTCACCTCAGGATGAAATACAGAGACATTATTTCTCAATACTTGAAATGGCTGCTTCTTGGAGCAGCTGGTAAAGGAACCCACAAGGGGAGAGGCAACTCTCGATCTAGTCCTGAGTGGAGCGTAGGATCTGGTCCAAGAGGTAGCTATAACAGGACCACTTGGAAATAGTGACCATAATATAATAACATTTAATATTCCTGTGGTGGGAAGATCACTTCAACAGCCCAACACTGTGGCATTTAATTTCAGAAAGGGGAACTATGCAAAAATGAGGAGGTTAGTTAAACAGAAATTAAATGGTACAGTGACTAGAGTGAACTCCCTGCAAGCTGCATGGATGCTTTTCAAAGACACCATAATAGAGGCTCAACTTAAATGTATACCCCAAATTATAAAACACAGTAAAAGAACTAAGTAAGAGCTACCGTGGCTTAACTACCGTGTAAAAGAAGCGGTGAGAGATAAAAAGACATCTTTTAAAAAGTGGAAGTCAAATCCTAGTGAGGTAAATAGAAAGGAGCATAAACACTGCCAAATTAAATTAAAAATGTAATAAGAAAAACTAAAAAAGAGTTTGAAGAACAGCCAGCCAAAAACTCAAAAGGTAATAACAAAATGTTTTTTAAGTACATCAGAAGCAGGAAGCCTGCTAAACAACCAGTGGGACCCCTGGATGCTCGAGATACAAAAGGAGCACTTAAAGATGATAAAGTCATTGCAGAGAAACTAAATTAATTCTTTGCTTCAGTCTTCACGGCTGAGGATGTTAAGGAGATTCCCAAACCTGAGCCGTCTTTTTGTAGATGACAAATCTGAGGAATTGTCACAGGTTGAAGCATCACTAGTGGAGGTTTTGTAATTAACTAACAGTAGCAAGTCACTGGGCCCAGCTGGCATTCACCCAAGAGTTCTGAAAGAACTCAAATGTGAAATTGCGGAACTCTTAAGTATGGTTTGTAACCTGTCCTTTAAATCAGCTACTGTACCCAGTGACTGGACGATAGCTAATGTAACGCCGATATTTAAGAAGAGCTCTAGAGATGATCCCGGCAGTTATAGACCGGTATGTCTAATGTCAGTACCGGGCAAATTAGTTTAAACAATAGTAAAGAATACAATTGTCAGACACATAGAAGAATATAAATTGTTGCGCAAAAGTCAACATGGTTTCTCTAAAGGGAGATCACGTCTTACTAATCTATTAAAGTTCTTTGAGGGGGTCAACAAACATGTGGACAAGGGGGATCCAGTGGACATAGTGTACTTAGATTTCCAGAAAGCCTTTGACAAGGTCCCTCACCAAAGGCTCTTACGTAAATTAAGTTGTCATGGGATAAGAGGGAAGATCCTTTCATGGACTGAGAACTGGTTAAAAGACAGGGAACAAAGGGTAGGAATAAATGGTAAATTTTCAGAATGGAGAGGGGTGTTCCCCAAGGGTCAGTCCTAGGACCAATCCTATTCAACTTATTCATAAATGATCTGGACAAAGGGATAAACAGTGAGGTGGCAAAGTTTGCAGATGATACTAAACTGTTCAAGATAGTTAAGACCAAAGCAGACTGTGAAGAACTTCAAAAAGCTCTCACAAAACTAAGTGATTGGGCAACAAAATGGCAAATGAAATTGAATGTGGATAAATGTAAAGTAATGCACACTGGAAAAAATAACCCCAACGATACATACAATACGATGGGGGCTAATTTAGCTACAACTAATCAGGAGAAAGATCTTGGAGTCATCGTGGGTAGTTCTCTGAAGACGTCCACGCAGTGTGCATCGGCAGTCAAAAAAGCAAATGGGATGTTAGGAATCATTAAAAAAGGGATAGAGAGTAAGACGGAGAATATCTTATTGCCCTTATATAAATCCATGGTACGCCCACATCTTGAATACTGCATACAGATGTGGTCCCCTCATCTCAAAAAAGATATACTGGCATTAGAAAAGGTTCAGAAAAGGGCAACTAAAATGATTAGGGGTTTGGAATGGGTCCCATATGAGGAGAGATTAGAGGCTAGGACTTTTCAGCTTGGAAAAGAGGAGTCTAAGGGGGGATATGATTGAGGTCTATAAAATCATGAGTGGTATGGAGAAAGTGAAGAAGGAAATGTTATTTACTTGTTCTCATAATATAAGAATTAGGGGCCACAAAATGAAATTAATGGGTAGCAGGTTTAAAACAAATAAAAGGAAGTTCTTCTTCACTCAGCGCACAGTCAACCTTTGGAACTCCTTGCCTGAGGAGGTTGTGAAGGCTAGGACTATAACAGGGTTTAAAAAAGAACTGGATAAATTCATGAAGGTTAAGTCCATTTATGGCTATTAGCCAGGATGGGTAAGGAATGGTGTCCCTAGCCTCTGTTTGTCAGAGGGTGGAGATGGATGGCAGGAGAGAGATTACTTGATCATTACCTGTTAGCTTCACTCCCTCTAGGGCACCTGACATTGGCCACTGTCGGTAGACAGGATACTGGGCTGGATGGACCTTTGGTCTGACCCAGTATGGTCGTTCTTATGTATCTGAAATTCATATGAACCCCAGACCCTTCTTGATGCTGGCATATTCTGAGGTCTGATCTGCAGCTCTCTCTCCTATTGTGCCAAAAGACAAATCAGCCTGTTTGTGCAGTCTGAGCTAATTGTGGAGAGAAGCAGAGGCAGTGTCGTTTTTTTATAGGGGTAGAAGATTTTCACAGGAGCGACCTTAAAGGAAAAACAAACAAACACACGAATTAAAAGAATGTAGAATAAGAAAATGGGTAAGAAAAATGAAAACAGGCCCTAGATTTCTAGGGTTGTTGGTGGCAGCATGGTCCCTGGGGAGAGGCTAGTCAAAGTGCTTGGCAGTGTGAGGTAGTGAACACGCTGCGGATTGTACTTTGAATCTCAAGGCCTCTATTGGCACCTGCTATTGTACACACTGAAAGCACCTGCCCGGGGCTAGCCAGTGCTGGGCCAAGTGGTTAGCTGTAGTGTACACTTGGGGCATGGCTGGTGTTTGTAGAGTGTTCAGTGAACTTCAGAATGTTTCTTTCTTCTCTTCAAGGCAAAATCCAAGAGATATTCATACTCTGGCCCAGCTCATCTCCGCATACTCCCTTGTAGACCCCGAGAAGGCGAAGGTGTATCCTTTGTGGTGGTGACTGGGCTTGCGGTGGGAAACGGGTTTTGCTGTCCCTTCGGTTCCCAGAATGTTTTCCTAATGATGTCATGAGTGTTTGGAATTTTTGAGCTGCTTCAGGACCCTTCCAACAGGGACATCAGAGAACCTCTGACCCTGGAGAGGAGCGGGAAGGTCATAGTGCAACTCCACATTAAGGGTGGGCTTTTCAAAGGCGCCTAAGTGAGTTGAGTGCCTAGCTGCTATTTACTTCTGGTAGGATTTGGGTGTCTAATTCCCTTAGGGCTTTTGAATCGCCCCATGGCCCCCCAAAAGCAATGAGAACTTCAGTCAGTTAATGATGAGCGAACATATCAGTATGATCCAACTTTTTGCTGTGGCGTTTTTGTCCTATAGTGGTAACATGTTGTACTTTCCCACCGAATCGTTTGGTGTAACTCTTATTATAATAACCAATTCTTACCGCACTCCCCATCAGCAGCTTTCAAAGCATGTTACAAAGGACCTCAGGGTCATCACTCCCATTGTACAGATGGGGACACAGGTACCTAGAAGGGAAGTGACTTGTCCAAGGTCACCCAGCAGGCCAGTGGCAAAGCCAGGAACAAAACCCAGGTCTCCTGGGTCTCTGACTGTTGCCCTCTCCACTAATTCACTCTGTGTCTATGGATTGGAGCTGCTGGTTAATCCCCCTGGGACAGAGATGGGGTTTGAGTTGCTGCTGGTGCCTCCCTCCTGGCTCTCTTTGCTGAATGCATTCCTGTTTCCATTCCTGAGCTCCACCCCTCGACAGCCTTAGCAAACACTTGCCCTCGTCGGACACGATGTCTTTGAAAGTAGACGTGGATGTGCTTGAAAATTCCCCCGGGGCTACGTACGTTCGGAAGAAAGGCGGAAAGCTCACGGGAGAAAACCAGCAGAAAGAACAAGGGTAAAAAGCATCTCTCACCCGTCATTCTCTTCCGTGGGCTTGGGGTTAGAAAGCACCTGCTGTGTGGATCACCTCAGAGCTTCAGGCCTGTTTCTGCAGCCACCCTGCAAATGGTCTGACTAGTCGAAAAGCAGGCTGTCCCTTAGAGTGTCTGTAGGTAACTCCGGGAGGTCCAGAGAGGGACAGCAGTCGTCCCGATCAGCGATGCAAGGACGTGTCCCTATGAGCGATGCAGAGGTGGGCAGCAAGGTCCTTGTGAAGCCAGAGCTGTGCACACCACTAGAGTGAGGCCAAGCATGGTCTGGGGAACATCCCCTCACACAGGGGTTCTTGTGCATTAGCTTGTGGTGCGTTTGCTGGAGGGCTGCAGAATGAAACATTGAGCCGGGGAAATGAGGGTACTCTGGGAGCAGGAGTCAGGGACTCTAACAGACTGATCTGTGGGGGAAGTAACTGGAGATCCACTGCCCCAGGGGATTAGAACTGTTTCTCTGAGACTGGTGTCCTTTCCTCCTTGCCCCCTCACTTCTTTGAAAAAAGACAGTCTTCTTTTCCCCTCCTTGGCTCCATGCTTGTTGGTGCATTCCAGGGAAGCCACGGCAGCACTGTGATCTTGTTTCTTCTCCTCGCCCTTTTAGGCAAGGGGATGTAAAGAAAAAGAAGAGGAAAAAGAAGGGTGAGTTGTGTGTGTTTGCAATATGCCTTTGCTGTCCTGTTAGCCATCAGTTTGGAGCCTCGACCACACCGTATCATCTGTGCATTACCCCTGTCCCTGGTAATGTTCTTTAAACTCCTGTCCAGAAAAGCAGAAGATTGTGAAAATCCCAGGCTGTTCTTTGAGGGTGGGGGGAATGCCTACAGGAGTTAGGTGCCCAAGTCCCATAGACGCCGAGTGCCTCATTTCCTTGGAAGGGGTGGGGAGGGTTTGGAAATCCCATATATAGAGTTTTAAACCATCTCTTTTAAAGAATAACAGCATGGCTGCTACATGCCCTCCCTCACACCAGGTCACTGTGCTTCCTGTGTGTTACCTGCCTAGTCCTGTGTCTTCAACCTCTTCGCTCCTCAGCTGCTGGGTTCAACATAAAATGTGAAGTGGCCAGGCCTGAGCACCCCTCTATTCCCATTGGCTTCAGTGGGAGTTGAAGGCAGTTTGCATCATACAGGATTGGGTCCTAAACAAACCATAACCCCTCTGATTTCCATGCCTTTGATTCCTGAGAGTATTTCCCACATCCCTTTTAGAGGGGAAAGCAGCCTGTCAGACTTAGCAGGCGCAGCTGTACCAGCAAGAGGAGCTTCATTTGACCCTGCACACCTTGCGGGCTTAAGCTTTGTAGAGTCACAGATTCTAAGGCCAGAAGGGACTAGCCTAACCCCCTGTATAACACAGGCCAGAGAACTGCCCTGGAATAATTCCCTGAGCAGTTCTTTTAGGGCAACATCCCAGATGGAAGGAAGATAGAAGAATTACTCTAGCTTCATATCGATGTGTGTGGGGTTTTCTTCACCATGTCACGTGATCTCCATGTTTTTCTTCTGCTGACTGCTGTGCAGGAAAACTGCCCAAGAACTATGATCCCAAGGTGACCCCGGACCCTGAGCGGTGGCTGCCGATGCGAGAGCGCTCCTATTATCGCGGAAGGAAGAAGGGCAAAAAGAAGGATCAGATTGGAAAGGGAACCCAGGGAGCAACGACAACTGGCACATCTGAGTTGTGAGTAGGGGTTGCACAGAAGAGTGCTTTGTAATTACACAGTGCCCCAAGTAGCAAACACTCCTTAACTGCTTCACAAACATGGCCCCCAGATCCCACCAAGGCCAGTGAGGCTTATCCTCTGCTTCTGCCAATGCATTGAGCCTGATTTGTTTGCTCTGTAGATTGCTAACTCCCCAGAGCTGGGACTATATCTTTAGTTGTCTTAAACTGAGCATGTCATCCGTGTGTGGCATGAGTCTGGCGTGCGCCGGGCATATGGGGCTGGACCATAATGTACAGAGTATATGCTGACAGAGCTTCATCGGTCATTAAAAATAGTAGTTCTTCAACAGCTTACGGGTGAATTAGGCAGCACTTCAGGACAGGAAATGAAACATCCTTATCCAATTGCAAGTGTGGGAAAACGTAAGTAGAAAGAATTACATAAGAATATTAGAATGGCCATACTGGGTCATCCAGCCCAGCATCCTGTCTTCTGACAGTGGCCAATGCCAGGTGCCACAGAGGGAATGAAGAGAACAGCTAATCATCAAGTGATCCATCCCCTGTCGCCCATTCCCAGCTTCTGGCAAACACAGGCTAGGGACACCGTCCCTGCCCACCCTGAATAATAGCCATTGATGGACCTATCCTCCATGAACTTACCTAGTTCTTTTTTGAACCCTGCCTTGGACTTAGCTTAATGGTAGAGCTGCTTCAACTTTTCCAGTAGCCTTTCCTTTGTGGCGCCCCTGGGGTGGAATGAATTCTGTCTCTCTCATCACACTTGTGTGTGTATAATATGAGCCTAGTGTTAAATGGGCAATTCATGGCTAAATCACTTCTTAGTGCAGCTGATTACTTTAGAAAGGATTGAAACTATTAAGCTACTAATAGCGGTAGAAGCAAATGGGAGTTGTAGTACCTCTTAGCCCGAATGGTACCTGGAGTCACTTGTGAAAAAGGTGGCCATGGCTCTGATTGCAGACTTGTGAGTTGGGACTCACTGCTAAGTGCAGCAGTTACGCAGCTGTCGCCACCTGCAAATCACAGGCTCAGAATCTGTCGACAGGGCGGCGGCTTTAGCAGAATGCAATGGTTATGTTTTTGTTGTTGTGATCTACATCAGTTCTTACTGTTAAACATTTTGAAATGTATCAGTTTTAATTTTCTAAGTGTGATCTGAAGGGTTTCACCTTTTTTAAATTTTTTTTTTCTATTTGAATGTTCACAGTCACAGAAAATTAAGGTGGGGGGTGTCAGACAATAACTTTGTAGTGACCCCCGATTCCGGCAGGGACAAGATGCGAGGAAGGCTGAGTTCCTAGCAGGGCAGAGCAGAGACTGAGAGCAGAATTCCTGGCAGGGCAGAGCAGAGACTGGCCAAGACTGAGAGCAGGAGGATGAGCTGGTGGCCGTGGGGCAGGCCACCTCGCTGTGTCCAGCCCCAGGCAGTGCAGGGAGCCTCCTGCAGCCCCACTGTTCATAGATTCATAGAATAGATGAATAGAATATCAGAGTTGGAAGGGACCTCAGGAGGTCATCTAGTCCAACCCCCTGCTCAAAGCAGGACCAATCCCCAATTTTGCCCAGAACCCTAAATGACCCCCTCAAGGATTGACCTCACAACCCAGGGTTTAGCAGGCCAATGCTCAAACTACTGAGCTATCCCTCCCCACACTGTTATAGCCCTGCTCACTCACTCACTGTCCAGGAGTGTGGGAGCCATCCCTAGGCAAGAGCCATTCAGCAGCAGGGTGGCCTCCCTCCCGGCTGGGGGCTTGTCAGTGTCCTTGCAGACCTGGCTGGGTGGTGTTGCTTTGCCCCACCAGAACCCAGCCTTCCCTGCACCTGGGGCCTGCAGGGATGGAATACCCAACAGTATTTATCATCCGGTTGATGCTCCAGAGGAGAGATATGTTGGGATTTTCAAAAGTGCCTAATGGAGGTGAATGCCCCTTGACTTTCACCTGATTCCCTTGCACCCTTTCACGACCCCAGCCCAGACAGAACGAGGGACCTGGTGCTTTGTCGTTAGTGAACAAACAGGTGATTTATGCTACCTGAGGTTTGGGTGAAAAGGTTCCTTCAGCCCAGAATTTGTCTGTGCAAGCTTGTGCCATTCTTCTGACATAAAATGTTCTGATTTGGAACCAAAGCGTGTGCTGGTTGCGGTTTTTGTGAGCTAGAGCTAGGAGGCAAATCACACTTCCTAAAACTTTCTTGGCTCCTGTCTTCTTCCCTTCCCACTTTTCAGGTGTACCATGTTACATTCATGTTGAATTAGAAAGGAGACTGTGTTCTGTTTAGTTTTACGATAAGTGAGCTCAGCTCCTACAGACCCTTCAGAGCTCCTAAGCATGAATTCTGGGCTAAAGTGAGGTTCTGTTTGCATTGAACTCAGTAAGAATTGTGCACTGGATAGGAGCTCATTGCTGCCACTTGCAGGGTCAAGCGGGGAGGAGCTGAGTTGTGGCAGGGGGAGCCCTGGTGCAAACAAACCTCCCCGTAACAGTGCAGGCAAGAGAAGAGCAGGAGCCTGGCTTCTGTCGGGTTTGCTTGTCTGCATTCCCTGAGCGTGAGCTTTCTACTTTGTGTCTGAATAATTTAACCATAACCTAGACAGTGTGGTCACTTCAGTTCTTCTTAGAGTGCTTGCTCATATCAATTCCAGTTGGTGTGTGTGCATGCACCGCGTGCATGGCTCTCGGAAACTTTTCCCTAGCAGCTACCTGTCGGGCCGGCTGTGGAGCCCCCTGGGGTGGCGCCGGTATGGAGCTCTATATACGACCCTGCCTGCCCATCCCCCCTTCAGTTCCTTCTTACCGCCAGTGACAGTTGTTGGAACAGTGGTCTCTTGCTTGCAAGTGTCCCACTAATCCCTAGCTCTTCTGCTAATCTCTGTATATAGTTACCCATTGTTAGTTAATAGTTCTTAATTAGTTGTTAATTGTTAATTGTAGTCTCACTGCTTAGCAGTTGGGGGGTCTCCTCCTCCAACTCGTGCCCCGTGCCCCGCAGGACCACAGGGCATGCCATCTTAAGGTTTCAAACCCTGTAGTTCCTGTGCTAAACCTATGCCCACGAGTGACCCCCATGACTACTGCCTCTGGTGTCTGGGAGAAGGCCATCAGTCAGACAAGTGCAAGATCTGCAAGGCTTTCAAGCCTTGCACCAGGAAAGAGAGGGACATTCGCCTAAAACAACTTCTGATGGAGTCAGCCCTCTGTCCGCAGCAGGACCCGGCCCCGAGCGCCTTGGTGCGGAGCGATCCTCCTGCGGTGCCTTCTGCAGTGTCGTGGAAGGACTCTGCATGCCAGCCCGGGAGCTGCCAGTCCCCCAGGCCCCAGAAGCGCTCTCCCCGGCACCGTTCTCCTTCACCGGATGCTCGTAAGAAACAGGCCAAGGGGAAGTCCCCCCAGCAGCTTGCTATGGCTACTGCACCCCCGGAAGGGGACTGTGAAGGGGACGGTCCTATGACTGACAGACCCTTGGGCTGCGCACAATCCTCGCAGGCCCCTGTCTCCCCAGGAAGCGCTGCTCTCCTGGACTCACCGCGGCTGCATGTGGGGGAAGTTGTGTTGCCTTCCACCCTAGACTCCTTCGAAGCTGCTAGGGGGCTCATTGAGATGACTGCATCTAAGTCTCCCACTATGAGGGATAAGCCTCTACTCCCTCGAGGTACGGCACCATCTAGAGGCAAGCCTGCCATGTTTGGCCAGTCTTCCCCTGACCTGTATCTCTGCACCGCTCCAAGTCCCGGCGCTGCTCTGAGTCCCAGCACTGGTCTGGCAGCCGTGACCCTTGGAGCCGCTCTCACTCAAGGTGGTCATTGGCGGACAAGTCGTGGTCCCGCTCGAGGTCCAGGTCCCATTCTGTGACCTCGTGGCACCGTTCTGAGCGCTGGCCTCAGCCTGCACGCTGTTCACCTTCCAGGTGTTGCTCAATGGACAGCACCGCTCCCTGCTCGCAGCACTGCTCCGCGCCGCGGCATCTCTCCCCGCTTCGTCACTGTCCTCGATCGTGGCACCGCTCCCTGCCTCGACGCGGCTCTGTGTCGCAGCACTGCTTTACTTCATACCACCGCTCCACACCCCGGCACCGCTCCTCACAGCAGTACTGCTCTGCACCGTGGCACCGATTGACATCAAGGCCCACTACGCTTCATGGCATGCATCCCACCTGTCGGAGGAGGATGTTTCTTCGGTGCTATCTTGCACCATTCCCCCTTGGCCGTCCCACTGAAGGTCACCCTTCCTCCGCTCAGGCAGGGCATCGGGGGCATCAGAGGTGCCCAGGTCGGGGCCAGGGAGCCTAAGGCAGGACGCTTCAGCGCCCCAGTGGCAGCCTCAGTGGCAGTTTTGGACCGCTTGGGCATGCCATTAGGCCCAGGGTGCCCCTCCTGATATCCCACCACCTCCCCATTCGGGATCTCGCCTCCCAGAGGCAACCCTCAGCCGCCTACCCCTGGACCCTCCACAAAACCCACACCCAGCTCCACGTTCACCCATTGAAGCTACGCCTGGTGCTTGTGAGGATCCGGTCCCTAAGGACCAAGAGGCCACCACGGAACTGATCCTACTGGTGGCTTCCTCCTCATTGTCCCCTGATGAGGTGGTGGCAGGCACCTCAATGTCTGGGCCGCCACCCAGGGATTACAGGGCCCTGCAGGAACTCCTCTGACGAGTAGCCCTGAATATGAACCTCCAGGTGGAGGAAGTGGTCGAACAGGAGCACCCTATGGTGGACATCCTGGCACCAGAGGGCCCTCTAGGGTGGCCTTACCCATTATAAAAACTATTCAATCCAATGCCAAACCCATTTGGCAAACGCCTGCTTCCGTTCCCCCTGTGGCCAATGGGGCTGAACGTAAATACTTTGTTCCCACTAAGGGATATGAGTGTCTCTTCACCCACCCTCCCCCATGCTCTCTCATGGTGGAGGCGGTGAATGAAAAAGAGAGACAAAGTCAGCAGGCCCCCGCACCCAAATCAAGGGAGGCTAAACAGCTTGATCTGTTTGGAAGGAAAATTTATTCCACAGGGGGTCTCTCTCTCAGGATCACAAATCAACTCATGGTCCTGAGTAGATACAACTATAACTCATGGTCCTCAATCTTAAAGTTTAAAGAGCACCTTCCCTCTGAATTGAGAGTGGAGTTGGGGGTCATCACTGAGGAGAGTAAAGCTGTTGCCCGGACTTCCCTCCGAGGCTCCTTTGATGCCTCGGACTCTGGCGTCCGGGATTGCGATGAGGCGCAGTGCCTGGCTCCAGTCCTCTGGCCTTCCCCCGGAGGTCCAGCAGACCATACAGGACCTTCCCTTTGATGGCCAGGGCCTATTTGCTGAGCAAACAAATTCCAGATTGCGTTGCCCAAAGGACTCCTGGAACACAATAAAGTCCCTCAGCATGCACACTCTGGTGACCCAAAGGAAGCCCTTTAAATTGCAGACCATTCAGCAGTGGTCTTTTCCCCCTAGGCCCAGACAGGACTTCTCTCATAGGAGAAGTAGATACAATCGACGCAAGCTATCGCATCGTCCTCCTGGGCAGGGCCGGGGCAATCCAAACCCCCTTTGGGCCCTAAGCGACCCTTTTAAAGGTCCAAACAAGGATGGATTACCAGTCCACAACCCCTCCTTTCCTGAACCGTCCTATCCTGCTTTTACCATGCATGGTCCCTTATTACGTTGGACCGACAGGTGCTCCACACGGTAGAGGCGGGATATTCTATCCAATTCCGTTCCTCCCCACCCTCCCATCCCCCTTGCCTGTCCCTCTTCAGGGACCCGTCTCATGAGCAGCTTCTCGTCCAGGAGGTCCAGGCTCTCCTTGCTCTAGGAGTGGATGGAGAAGGTCCCTCGGGAGCTTAAAGGCAAGGGTTTCTTCTCCTGATATTTCCTCAATCCCCAAAGCGAAGCGGGGCCTCAGGCCCATTCTGGACCTGTGGGAGCTCAACAAGTTCATAGTCAGCTTGAAGTTCCTATGCACAATCATTCCTTCCCTAGACCTGGGAGACTGGTACGCCACCCTCTATATGAGGGATGCTTATTTCCACATATCCATCACACCGGCTCACAGACGGTTCGTAGTGAACAAGGTGCATTACCAGTTCATGGCCTTCCCATTTGAGCTTTGCACAGTGCCTCACGTCTTCACCAAGTGCATAGCAGTTGTAGCAGCTTTGTTCCGCCGCCACCATGTGCATATCTACCCTTACCTGGACACTGGCTCCTCTGGGGCCGCTCCCGCCAGCAGGTGGAATCGCAGGTGCAGATAGTCAGGGACACGTTCAAACATTTAGGTATCATTCTCAGCGTCAACAAATCAGTGCTCTTTCCAACTCAGAGGATAGAATTCATCAGGGCCGTTCTGTATGTGTCTCAGGCGAGAGCATTCCTGCCAGAGACTTGTCACCTGTTCCTCTCGCAGATAATCGACAACCTTTGCAACTTCCCTACCACCACGGCGAGGCAGTGTCTCCGGCTGTTAGGCCATATGGCATCCTGCACTTATGTGGTTCAACACGCCAGGTTACGACTCAGACCCTTGTAAGCGTGGCTCACCTCTGTGTACCGCCCAGGCCGCGACAGTCCTGACATGGTGCTGACCATCCCTCAGCACACCCTCGATTCCCTCCGGTGGTGGCTGAATCCCTGCTTGGTAGTCACCGGGGTTCCTTTTCACCCACCCCAACCCACCTTGACTTTAGTCACAAATGCGTCCGTGTTGGGCTGGGGAGCACATCTGGGAAGCCTGACAGCTCAGGGCTTATGGCAAGTAGAGGAACTGGCTCTACACATCAACATCAAAGAACTCAGGGTGATCCGTCTCGCCTGCCAAGCTTTTCTGACTGACTTGCAGGTCCACTGCATAGCGGTACTGACGGACAACACCACGGCCATGTTCTGTATAAACAGGTTGAGTCACTGATATTGCTACCTCTCACTCCCGACCTCATTACACAGGACCACGGTTGCCTCCTTCACCCAGACCTTCAGTCTCTCCATCCAGCTTTCTTTCCCAAGGTGGTGTCCCGTTTCCATATCAGCCAGGACATTTCCTGCCAGTCTTCTATCCAAAACCTCACAACAGCCCTTAAGAGCAACAGCTACACTCGCTGGATGTTAGGAGGGTGCTCCCATTCTATATCGATCGCACAAAGCTGTTCCAAAAGACAACCCAGTTGTTTGTTATTATAGCAGAGTGGATGAAGGGTTTGCCAGTCTCTTCCCAGCGGATCTCTTCCTGGATCACAGCTTGTATCCGCACTTGTTATGACTTGGCAAAGATTCCATCACTGCTCAGTCCACGAGGGCGCAGGCCTTGTAGACGGCCTTTCTAGCCCAAGTACCTCTCCAGAAAATGTGCAGGGCTGGGATGTAGTCTTCAGTGCTTACTTTCACGCACTATGCCATCGTCCACCGATCTAGGGATGATGCGGCCTTCGACAGAGCAGTACTTTGGTCGGCAATACCTTGACTCCGACCCCACCTCCTAGGTAAGGGTTGGGAGTCACCTAACTGGAATTAATATGAGCAAGCACTCGAAGAAGAAAAAACAGTTACTCATCTTTGTAACTGTTGTTCTTTGAGATGTGTTCATAGAATCATAGAATATCAGGGTTGGAAGGGACCTCAGGAGGTCATCTAGTCCAACCCCCTGCTCAAAAGCAGGACCCATCCCCAATTAAATCATCCCAGCCAGGGCTTTGTTGTTTGTGTTGCTCATATCTATTCCATTCCCCCTCACCTTCCCCTCTGTCAGAGTAGCTGGCAAGAAGGAACTGAAGCGGGGGTCGGGCCAGCAGGGTCGTATATAGAGCTCCATGCCGGCGCCACTCCAGGGGGCTCCACAGCCGGCCCGACAAGTAGCTGCTAGGGAAAAGTTTCCTACAGCTGTGCACGCACCGTGCGCACACACCTAACTGGGGTAGATATGAGCAACACATTTCGAAGAACAACAGTTACAAAAAGGATAAGATAACCGTTTTTTGTTGGGCTGTAATTCCACAGCTTTAAAGGCAAGTCCCATGGCATAAGGCCAATTGCTTGTTTATCTGTTTTGGAGCCTAAATCAGTTTCCCTTTGATTTCTGTTTTGGGAAGGAAAGGGAAAATGTTCCTCTAAGTCCCCCAGCTCTGGGAGGCGCTCCTAACCCGGCGGTGTTCCCTGTCTCCCTGCAGGGATGCCAGTAAGACAGCAAGCAGCCCGCCTACCTCCCCACGGCCTGGCAGTACCACAGCCACGTCTTCCGCAGCCACGAGTAACATGATACCCCCCCGGCACCAGAAACCTGCTGGCGCTGCAGCAACCAAGAAGAAGCAGCAGCAGAAGAAGAAGAAAGGAGGCAAGGGAGGCTGGTAACGAGAGCGGCTGCTGAGCTGGCTGTGTGAGGGACTGGAGCTCTCTGCTGTAAAGTGCTGAGAACAGAATAAAGGTCAGAGTAAGAAGCAGCACAAAGTCACGGCTTCCTTCACGCTGTCTTGAAAAGGTTCCTCCTGGGCTTCGTTTCCTCTGCAGTGGGAAGGGAAGGGAAGCTTTTCCTCCTCCCATTCCCGCTCCCTTTCCTAACCCGCTGCCCGATGTTTCCCTCCATTGTTTTTTTTTTTTTTTTGGGGGGGGGGGAAGAATCATGGTTCATTTGCTTACCGAGTCAGACCATTGTCCCTCCCTGGTGTGCCCGTGGCCCCCTGCAGCAGTTACACAAACACAAGGTATTTCCCCAGTCCTGCTTACAGCAGAGAATCAGCTGGAGTGATGAGTCTTGACAAACATACCACATTACTGGCCTCCCCACGGGCCCTTGCTGTCTCTCTGGGCTGCCTAGCAAAGGCCCTCACCTAGGTGACAGGAGGGCAGACATTGGTCACAGAGCCTGTGGGGTGCTGTCTGGAGGTGGCTGTGCATCTCAGAAGGGACAGTTCACTATCACTTCATTTTGTGGCTTGAACTCTGGAGAGCCACATTCTTAAATGTGTCAATTAAGAACAATCTGAGGTTGCATGGAGCTTCCCAGGGCAAGGTACAGGCGACCTGTGACACCTTGGCACTGTCTGGAGGCTTTGATTTCGTCTAGCCAAACGCAGTGTGTGAGAATGCTGCTTTGTTAGTGGACAACACTGGCCTTTGGGAGGGCACTGTGGGGGAGCAGCCTGCGTTCTGGGTTCCGTGAGGAACAAATCCTTCTGGAATGAGGCAGGGCATTGGAAATGGCACACTTCTCCTCTGGGGCCGGAGTGCTGGGTGCTGAGCTCTCTGAGCATCTGCTCTGTGGTGTCTGGCATTCAATACTTTGTTTTCAGGGTCTGGCCATGCCCAAGGGACACAGTCTAGATTTCAGCCTTCACATATATTATGACCTGTTTGGGTGCGATCTTCAGGGGTTTAGGAATATTTTCCAAAAATCTTTGCTGCAGCAAGATGATGTAGACAATGCCTCATGCCCTGCTTCTCCTCACAAAGGATGCTCATGCTGTCTTACTGATGCACACTCCTGTGCCAGCCTAAAGCCCCGGAATCATAAGGTGGTGTCTGGGGTTTTATACCGATATTTGTAGGGATAGTGTACTAACGGGGGCACCAGTCACACTCAGCTCCTTGCGAAGAAATGAGCATAGGAGCTGGCTCTTGGAGGCCCCTGGGCTGGTTAGGCTTTCTCCGAACTGCTCTGATGGTACCTCTTCAAGGATGGGAGTCTTGCTTCCTCCACCCTTTGGTAGCCGCTAACTCTAAATGATTGAAATAACCAAGCCTTCTAACGCCAGACTGCCTTACCAGACAGCACGCTGTACATAGACTGGTGTACAAGTGTCACTGGGTCTGCGGGCTGCAGTTCAGACGGCCAGGCTCGCTAAGCTGGGATGGATTTATTGCATGGCACAGGAACAGTATTTCTTACTGAGCAGAAATTCCTGGAGCCCTTCAGACAAAAACCATAAGCAGAGGAACATCCGTATTTGCATTTCCAGCTACCAGCATGTCAGACACACTGCTTTTCAGTCTCAGTCTCAACTCTTGCATCATCTTAGCACTGTAGGGACGCATGTCTCCTGTGTTAAAGTGCGGGGGGCAGTTGCTTGGCAATTGCTAGCAGGTAGCAACAATCACGGTAGAAAAGGAAGTGTGTGTGGACTGGAAGGAATTCTCTAGCGGCAGCTGGCTCCAAAACCAAGTTACAGTGAGTATTGTGCTTTGGATGGCAGGCAGATCAGGCACAAAAACACATTTTTGTGCTACTGTTTTGTATAGCACAATGGAATGGGCTGAGAACGGGGTAACTGAACAAAACACAATTATTTTTCACAGAAAGAACCTGAATGCAGTGTTAGAAATCACTTTGTCTATCACATGTATGGTCTCTAACTAGAACTATGAAGAGTAAATCAAAACACATAAAGCAGCTTTCACTCTGGTCACAACAACTGTGAATTCAGCTTTCGAGTGTATATATTTAGATGTTTGCAGTCTAGTTTGGAGAACTCTACATTCTTAATCATCATGGCCAAAACTGTCAAATGTGAAGACTGGAAGTTCAGACACCACAATAAAAAATGGATTGATTTTTTGCTGAGCAATCCCAGCTCCTGTTGACTTCAACTATAGAGGCATGACCAGTGTTTCCATCTTTCTAATACACTCTTGGACAGTATGTACTGATTGGGTTGGTGCCAGGATCTGTAGTGGCTGTATACAGAATATGATGGCTGCCGGAGGGAGGAGGAAGGGGAGGGGGGAGAGCTGTTTTCACTCCTCTTCCAATCACAGTTGCTTCTCCTTTAACTGTAAAGCCCTTCAGAAAATGCTGGTGTTCACACGGTATCGTTTATTTCTCTCTCTCCTCCAAACCCCACCCCCCACCCCCTGTGCCAGCCAAATGTAGTCGTACTAAGCTCTATATTAAAGCTAGAGGGAGGTTTAATACATTCTTTTGAGTGGAAGTTTGCAGTTGGACTATGTAAATAGATCAGTTTCTGTGTAATCCCCCTGGCAATTTCCTCCATGCTCCTCTTGCTTTTGTTTTGGTAAATGTTGCAAAATAATTTTTCAAGGAAATTGGGTAGGGAAGAGGTAGGTAGAGGGGAAGAGAGTGCTGGCTCGGACTGAGGCATTTCGAACTTGGGTGGAAATTGCACTAGTAAAGGGGTAGGTGGACAAAGTTTGGCACAAACTACAGGCTTTGTAAAAACAGTCTTTTAGAGACTTGTAAGACTAAACGCAATACTGCCAATGGAAACAAACATTGCCCTGCAGAATCTGCTTCCCAGCCTTTATAGCAGTAGTTCTCAACTTGCGGGCCACTTGCGGCTCACTTAGCACGCAGCTTTGGCCCATTTGACATCCTCGGGGCCTAGAGATAGTATAATGTTTGGCTGCGGCTCACATAACAAAGAAAGCTGCAGATGCGGCCCACAATGGTAAATAGGTTGAGAACCACTGCTTTATGCACTACCCAGCATGAGAATTGAAACTGACTAAACACTGACTAGTCTGTTTCATCATCCCAGTGACCATAAATGTGGAAAGTGAACAGTATAACCCAGGAAAATTAAATTTGATTTTTAAAAATCTTTGTTTTAATCCTCTTCCACTAAGTATGGTTAATAAGCAAGATCATGAGTTGAAAAACTGTTTGTGTTCCTTTTAAATTCCAATGCATAGTGCAAATAAAATACCTCCAGGCTGTGAACTTCAAGTCGCAAAAGAGCTCCAGTATGGACCAAATGGGAGGTACTGGATCTGATCACTTTATGGGGAGACGAATCAGTGCTATTAGATCTCCGTTCCAAAAGACAAAATGCCAAAATATTTGAAAAAATCTCCAAGGGCATGAAGGACAGAGGCTGTCACAGGGACCCGCAGCAGTGCCGCGTGAAACTTAAGGAGCTCAGGCAAGCCTACCAAAAAACCCAAGAGGCAAACACCCGCTCGGGGTCAGAGCCCCAGACATGCCGCTTCTATGATGAGCTGCATGCAATTCTAGGGGGTACCCCTACAACTACTCCACACCTGTACGTGGACTCCTGCAAAGGAGTCTCACGCAACAGGGATGAGGATTTGGGGGATGAGGAAGATAGCACACACCAGGCAAGCAGAGAAACCGTTCTCCCCGACAACCAGGAACTGTTTATCACTCTGGAGACAATACCCTCCCAACCCAGGCCCCCGGACCTTGAAGGCAGAGACGGCACCTCTGGTGAGTGTACCTTTTGTAAATATAATACAGGGTTTAAAGGCGTGTTTAATGATTAATTTGCCCTGAAGACTTGGGATGCATTCGCGGCCAGTACAGCTACTAGAAAAGTCTATTAATGTGTCTGGGGATGGAGCAGAAATCCTCCAGGGACATCTTAATGAAGCTGTCCTGTAGGTACTCCCAAAGCCTTTGCAAAAGGTTTCTGGAGAGGGCAGCCTTATTGCGTCCTCCATGGTAGGACACTACCACGGCAGGCCAGTAGCATGTAGTCTGGAATCATTGCATAAGAAAGCATGGCAGCGTGTGGTCCTGGTGTTTGCTGGCACTCAAGCAACATCCGTTATTTATTTCTCTCTGTTATCCTCACGAGAGTGATATCATTCATGGTCACCTGGTTGAAATAGGGGAATTTTATTAAGGGGACAACGAGGTGGCCGTTCCTGCTGGGCTGTTTGCCTTGGCTGAAAATAAATCCTCCCCACTGTTAGCCACATGGTGGGGGGAGGGGTGACGCGATCATCCCAGAGAATTGGGTGTGGGGGGAGTTTAGTTGGGTTTGTGCTGCACGTTAACCCAAAAACTTCAGCCCCTTTTAAATGGCCAGTGTGTGTGTTTTTCAATTTTAATCTCCCTTTTTTTCTCCTGCAGCTGCAAATGTTTCAATGCTGTGACTAGCATCTCCATTCCAGAGGGTAGCACAGATTAGAAGGTGAAAAAAACGCACTCGTGATGAAATGCTCTCTGAGCTCATGGAGTCCTCCCGCACTGAAAGAGCCCAGCACAATGCGTGGAGGGAGACAATGGCAGAGTCCAGGAAAGCACAAAATGAACGTGAGGAGAGAAGGGACGAGTGAGAGGAGAGGTGGTATCAGCGTGATGAAAGGAGGCAGGATGCAATGCTGAGGCTACTGGAGGATCAAACCAATATTCCGGCGTATGGTTGAGGTGCAGGAAAGGCACAGACCGCCACTGCAGCCCCTGTGTAACCAACTACCCTCCTCCCCAATTTCCATAGCCTCCTCACCCAGACGTCCAAGAATGCGGGGGGAGGGGGAACCTCCGGGCACCCAACCACTCCACCCCAGAGGACTGCCCAATCAACAGAAAGCTGGCATTCAGTAAGTTTTGAAGTGCAGTGTGGCCTTGTCCTTCCCTCCTCCCCTCCTCTCCACCCCACCCGGTGTTTCCCTCCTCCCCCACCCCTCCCAGGCTACCTTGGCAGCTATCCCCCTATTTGTGTGATGAATTAATAAAGAATGCATGCATTTGAAACAACAATGACTTTATTGCCTCTGCAAGTGGTAATCAAAGGGGGAAGGAGAGGGGAGGGCGGTTGGCATACGGGGAAGTAGAATGAACCAAGGGGTGGGGGGTTTCATCAAGGAGAAACAAACAGAACTGTCACACCGTAGCCTGATCAGCCATGAAACTGGTTTTCAAAGCTTCTCTGATGTGCAGCATACCCTGCTGTGCTCTTCTAACCGCCCTGGTGTCTGGCTGTGCGTAATCAGTGGCCAGGCGATTTGCCTCAACTTCCCACCCCACCATAAACGTCTCCCTCTTACTCTCACAGAGATTGTGGAGCACACAGCAAACAGTAATAACAATGGGAATATTGGTTTTGCTGAGGTCTAACCGAGTCAGTAAACTGCGCCAGCGTGCTTTTAAACGTCCAAATGCACATTCTACCACCATTCTCACTTGCTCAGCCTGTAGTTGAACAGCTCCTGACTACTGTCCAGGCTGCCTGTGTATGGCTTCATGAGCCATGGCATTAAGGGGTAGGCTGGGTCCCCAAGGATAACTATAGGCATTTCAACATCCCCAACGGTTATCTTCTGGTCTGGGAATAAAGTCCCTTCTTGCAGCTTTTGAAACAGACCAGAGTTCCTGAAGATGCGAGCGTCATGTACCTTTCCCGGCCATCCCACGTTGATATTGGTGAAATGTCCCTTGTGATCCACCAGTGCTTGCAGCACTATTGAAAAGTACCCTGAGTACCGTGGCAGTTATGAGCATTGTAAACACCTCGCGCATTATCATGCAGTATATGCAGAACCAGACCCTGCAAAAGGAGATGATGGCAGCACGGTGATGAGGACATGGACACCGACTTTTCTCAAAGCACAGGCCCCGGCAGTTTGGCCATCCTGGTGGCAATGGGGCAGGCTCATGCCATAGAACACTGATTCTGGGCCCGGGAAACAAGAACAGACTGGTGGGACCGCATAGTGTTGCAGGTCTGGGATGATTCCCAGTGGCTGTGAAACTTTCGCATGCATAAGGGCACTTTCATGGAACTTTGTGACTTGCTTTCCCCTGCCCTGAAGCACAAGAATACCAAGATGAGTGCAGCCCTCACAGTTGAGAAGCGAGTGGCAATAGCCCTGTGGAAGCTTGCAGCACCAGACAGTTAGCGGTCTCTTAGGAATCAATTTGGAGTGGGCAAATCTACTGTGGGGGCTGCTGTGATCCAAGTAGCCAATGCAATCACTGAGCTGCTGCTATCAAGGGTAGTGACCCTGGGAAATGTGCAGGTCATAGTGGATGGCTTTGCTGCAATGGGATTCCCTAACTGTGGTGGGGCGATAGACGGAATGTGTATCCCTATCTTGGGACCGGACCACCAGGGCAGCCAGTACATAAACCAAAAGGGGTACTTTTAAATGATGCTGCAAGCACTGGTGGATCACAAGGGACGTTTCACCAACATCAACATGGGATGGCTGGGAAAGGTACATGACGCTCGCATCTTCAGGAACTCTGGTCTGTTTCAAAAGCTGCAGGAAGGGACTTTATTCCCAGACCAGAAAATAACTGTTGGGGATGTTGAAATGCCTATAGTTATCCTTAGGGGCCCAGCCTACCCCTTAATGCCATGGCTCATGAAGCCATACACAGGCAGCTCCTGCTCCTGCTGCCTTTCCTGCAGCTCAACCATACACTGGAGCATATTAGTTTGATCCTCCAGCAGCCTCAGCATTGAATCCTGCCTCCTCTCATCACGCTGCCGCCACCTTTCAGCTTCAGCCCTCTCTTCAGCCCGCCACCTCTCCTCCCAGACATTTTGTGCTTTCCTGCACTTTGACATTGTCTGCCTCCACGCATTCGTCTGTGCTCTGTCAGTGTGGGAGGACAGCATGAGCTCAGAGAACATTTCATCGCGAGTGTGGTTTTTTTGCCTTCTGATCTTCGCTAGCCTCTTGGAAGGAGAAGATCCTGTGATCCTTGAAACACATGCAGCTGGTGGAGAAAGAAAAAGGGACAGTGGTATTTAAAAAGACACATTTTATAGAACAATGGGTACACTCTTTCACGGTGAACCTTGCTGTTAACATTACACACATAGCACATGTGCTTTTGTTCCAAGGTCGCATTTTGCCTCCCTGCTCTCCATGGCTAACAGCAGGGAACATTTCTGTTCGGCCACAGGCAAACAGCCCAGCAGGAACGGGCACCTCTGAATGTCCCCTGAAGAAAAGCAGCCTATTTTAACCAGGTGACCATGAATGATCTCACTCTCCTGAGTATAACACAGAGAGATAAAGAACAGATGTTGTTTGAATACCAGCAAACATACACTGCAATGCTTTGTTCTACAATGATTCTTGAGTACATGCTACTGGCCTAGAGTGGTAAAGTGTCCTACCA